TTCAAACTAAATCATCTTCACATCTATCGTATTCACATCTATCGTATTCATATCTATGGAACATTCTCTAGAAATAGCATAAAATAAAGTTGTAACTAATGACTGAGTTTTCCAATTCTATTTACTGCTCCAACTCCAGGAACGTCTGATGTTAATGAAATTGAGTTTGAATTCATTGCCATAATCCTAGTTTTGTTTTCCTCTCTGTAACTTCCCTAGGTTATGAACATCCTATTTTAGGTAGCATTTTTGTCTTTCAAACTCTCTGTCTCTACATGACTATGTAATAAAGGATGACCTAAGAATAGAGAGAGAAAACTTATAGTTTAGCTAAGAATGAAATTTTAAATTGAGGTTTTCTAGTATCTGAAGTATATTCAACTTCTTATTTTATGAGTTGCTTTAGTTGCTATAAAACTAACTCTCAGGAAAGCCAGAGAATGGGTCGACTAAGTTTATAAAATTTCTTTCCTATGGATCTGTGACCATAACTCTTTTGGTATGAAACTGCCTTTGAAATCAGTGGGAACTCTATGCATTTAAGTAGCTCTCATTTAAGTTAAAATCTATATTTTAATTGCCACAAATAAAATGCAAATAAATTATTTGAATGACACAACAAAAGATTACTCCCTGAAGAGTTTTGTGCTGCAGCCTCTGAAAACGTTTGCAGTCTCTTGTTAAGGATATTAGAAGAAAATGTCATGTAGTTTTCTCAGTCAGAACAACACAGAGCATTTCTTACCGAGAGCTTTCATGTAATCATCAAAGTTCTCACTAGAGACAAGTTTCCAGGTGCCCAGGAATCTGTTGCTCATTGTGATAGGTGAGAGCTCAGCACAGTTCTAGATGGGATTCAGGAGACTCAGACGAGATGCTGAGGCTGCAGAAGATTCTTTTCAAAGATATCCAAAGCACATGACTCTCACAGAGATCCAATGGGGAAAGGCAGTGTCACTACTGGACAAGAAACGGCTCTTCAATCGCCCATCCAGTGGGATAAAACAAAACCCCATATAATGTTTCCTTTGTGTCCAAAACTTTTTATAAAAATGAATGAGCATGCTATTTGAAGCTTCAACATTTTTTTTTTTTTTGGTCTAGCCTACATTTATAAGAGTGCTTAGGTCCTTAATGCTCTGGAAAACACTCCATGAATTATATGATCATGAATGAGTGTATGTGTGTGTGTTTAGGCATCTTGGTGACTTTCAATCCTGAGTCTGCACAATTAAGAATTCTTATTGAAAAGGAAGAAAGAGAGAAATATGTCTATGAGTATTGTGATAACAGTCTCAAATATGTTGTGGGAGAGAAATGCAGGGAGCAGTGTGAGGAAGTATTCATAGGTAAGGGAGGCTTGGCATAGTTCACATATCCCCGGCAGGCAGAGTAGGCAGACAACGAGGTCAGTCTATTACAGTAGAGCACAGAAATTGTATTCATGTGATAGGACAAGAAACAGCACTGTAACATGCTCTTTAACCACAGCAAAAATTGTCATCTAAAAATAAACCTTAAATCTGAACCAAACAGGTTCTTAGTTACTATAACAACTTTGTGTTTAAGTCATTTAAAATACATCCACAGTTTTATAAAGACAGGATTTTCTGTCAGGGTGCAGTGGCTCATGTCTGTAATCCTGGCACTTTGGGAGGCCGAGGCAGGAGGATTGGTTGAGGCCAGAAGTTTGAGACCACGCTGAGCAAGAGCGAGACCACATCTCTACAAAAAATAGAACAATTAGTTGGGCATGGTGATATGCTGCAGTCCCAGCTACTCGGGAGACTAAGGCAAGAGGATCACTTGAGCCCAGGAATTTGAGGTTGCTGTGAGCTGTGATGACGCCACTGCACTCTAGCCTGGGTGATGGAGCAAGAGCCTGGCCCCCAAAAAAGAGAGAATTTTCTATAAAAATAATACTAATGCATAGTGAGAGCTCACCATGGGCCAGTCACTGAGCTAAGTGCTTAATACAGTGATCTCATTTAATCCTATCACTAACTTCAAGAGTTACATGTCATTATTATACCCATTTACCAATGAGAAAAGATGGAGCTCAGGGAGGTTAGGTAACTTGCTCCCAAAACTCTAGTAGAGAGGCAGAACTTGAACCCAACACTGTCTCCAGTGCCCAGACTCTGGACATTATCTCATGCTGCTCCTACTATACCATACAGGGGCAGAGGGGACAAAGAGCAGGTGATACTGATAACATCATGACTGGCTAGAGATACTCATTCTCTTCTCAAAGATCAAGAGAAGTAAAAAATCAAGAGATCCAGGCTACTACAGAGCCCAGTGTTTAACCAGGGAGACCAAAGGCAAATATTCTCAGAACCTGAATGCTGCTCTTGGGAATGCCGAATTGCTTCTCTATATAACACGTCATGTAAATGTTGCCTTACATATTGTCTACAAGTTACATACAATGATATATTTGGAAAAGAAATATATCCTATAGATATCAAAAAGATCATAAAACAATAATATTACAAAGTGCTTCATGCCAGTAAAAGTTCTTTAAAATAAAAAGCTTTAAAAGAAATTTATAAATTTCCTTAGAAAACGCAATATATCAAAAATGATGAATCCTGAATACTCCCAAATCTATTAGAATTGAATCCATAATTAAGATCTATCCCACAAATATGTCCTAGACTCATAGTCTTCTTCACTAATGAATTCTTACAAATATTTAAAAAAAAATAACACCAGTCTTACACAGAATCTTCCAGAGAATAAAAATATACTATTAATAGTTTCCAACTTGCTTCTGCCAAGGTCTTTGCACTTGCTCTTTCCTTAACCACTTCCATGTGGTTAGTTTTTAAATCTCAGCTCAATCACCCTCTTCTACCTTTGGAGCAACATATTTTAGATTTGAATTCAATCATCCATCTTCTTCTGGTACGATGCATATCATTTTTTTAAGATACTGAAATTTTTATGAATCTTGGGTATTATTTGATAAATATGTGTGTCACCCACTGAAGTCTTGATTTCATGTGAGTAGGGACAAAGTGTGATTTTGCTCATGTAATATCCCAAAGGCATAACACCATGCACGCACACAGTAGGTGATGAATAAACATTTGCTCACTAGCTGAATGAGTGAAGAAAATATGAAATTTTCTACTTACAAGGGTTTTGTTTGCATTAAACCAGATAATACATATGATATTTATTATTATTATTTTTATTCAAAAGTGCTAACTTTTAACCATAACACTTTCCCCTGAAAAGAACAAACACAAAAGCAAAGCTCATGATGATGCCATTTTCAGAAGAGATGGAAGTAGTTTGTGCCTTTTTCTTTTCTCTTTCTGATCTGAATGAGTGATCCTATCTGCCTCATAGGCAGGCTTCATGGATTGAGTCTGACCCAGACTCTGCCTAGTCAACATTTGATAGATGCGATGTCAGCATTCAATTTCTTCTTCCCTCTTTCCAACAGTCTCCGGTTTCCTTTTGGGGATCCACGTAATTTTGTGGAAGCTGACCTTACTGCCTCCCACTTGGGGATAGAACAGATGATCCCAGCTAAGCCAACCATTACATCCCATTCTCTTGATTACAGCAACAGAGTCAAGGGTATAGGCGTGTGAACTGAGCAGGCCATACAGCGATTACAGGGGTTTTCTGGAAATGCTAAAACAAAGTTGCTCTCTCTGACATAAAATAAGAAAATATATAGCCCCAGGAGCTGAGAGCAGCCATCTGGGGACTAGGAATGGAGCCAGCTTCAGGATGAAGCTAACACGAAGAGATAGAAAGAACCCAGATCTCTCTGATATCCTTGAGGCATTGAATCAAGCCTCACCTAAAACATACTTATCTTTGGAGTTTTCAGTTATGTGAGCTGATAAATTTTCTTTACTGCATTATTTACTTTCAATCTAGGTATAACTTGAATATTTTCCTTCCAATAAAGGGACTGTACTGCCAGAAAGAGCCACTGGGTTGCTCTCTGTTATAGGAATGATAACCATTCCTTTTCACAAGATCATGGGAAAAGCAGCAGCAGGGTTTTATGTTGGGAAGGCACTTTCAAAATACAGCAGAAAAGAGAATACCTTTGGCTATTATTCTAGGGGTTTCAGTCTGGGGTTCTTCTCAAAATCCCTCTTGTCATAGAATGTTAGACTTTTATCATGAGATAATACATATTATGAAAGCATCTAAAATTAGTGCTATGATCAATAGTATTTTCAGGCCGGGCGCGGTGGCTCACGCCTGTAATCCTAGCTCTTGGGAGGCCGAGGCGGGCGGATTGCTCAAGGTCAGGAGTTCAAAACCAGCCTGAGCAAGAGCGAGACCCCGTCTCTACTATAAATAGAAAGAAATTAATTGGCCAACTGATATATATATAAAAAATTAGCCGGGCATGGTGGCTCATGCTTGTAGTCCCAGCTACTCGGGAGGTTGAGGCAGAAGGATCTCTCGAGCCCAGGAGTTTGAGGTTGCTGTGAGCTAGGCTGACGCCACGGCACTCACTCTAGCCTGGCCAACAAAGGGAGACTCTGTCTCAAAAAAAAAAAAAAATAGTATTTTCATCCTAAACTTCTCTTTCTCTTCTCCCTCCCCTGCCTTCTCTTCCTTCCCTGTTATACTCTGGAGTCACGAAAAGCGCAAAGGCTTTGGAATCATACTAAGCATGGAAATTAGTTGTTAACACCCATTCCTTTATTTGGCCATCCTGTTAGTCAGCAGTAAAAGCGGTTGATTGTTTTCATGTTCAGGATGACATGATCTTAATACAACCCTAGGAAAGTACACATGAAAAGATCCCAAGATTCGTTGTATATTATCTCACAAGCATGAAGGCAATTATTTAATATATATTTCTTGAACTGTGATAGTACCGAATATATAACATTGTGAATGAAATAGCAGCAGTTCCTGCCTTCAAGAGACTTTTACTCTAGTTAGGAAGATAGACATTACACAAACATTCAGAGACATATGATATCCAGTTATTATTTTTTTATGATTTGCAGATGGAGACGGTGAGAATGCCATTAAAGAGCCAGCTGACCACTACTACATAGGAAGACGCCTTATGGAATTTCTTAGACACCACCATGAAACTGATGATCTGATTCATCCCCAGAATTCCAGCCATTAGGGCATCAGGTTGGCTCCAGGCAGCTATTTGACATAAGGTGACAATGGCACTTCAGGCCTGCTATCCCCCGTCCATGTTTCAAATAAGTGTTTTTCTCTAAGTTTAACAATGCCAGGGTTAAAATTGCTTTCTTAATGCAAACCATTTCTTGTAACTTTTTCAGCTACCAGTGGATAGTTGGTCCTTTGGTTACTATGGGAACAGTTGCATTTATGCTGCCCCAAAGGTAGTTCAAAGCTTTTCTTTTATTGAATGGCAATAAAGAGATGGAAAAACTAGTTGGTGATTTCTCTAAACAATGCAATTAGCATTGTTTTTTGCTAGAATCTAACACGCCTGGCCTCTTTTCCAAAGGTTAGTCTAGGATTTCACATCATCATTCCTAATAAAACACCTGAGAATTGAAGTTACTCACTGGGGAGGGAATAAAAGAAGGATTTCAGCATTTCAATTTCTTTCTCTGGCCGTTATAGAATATACTGAGCTTTCACAGTTTTTCTACTCCATTTGCATTTCCTCTTAGAGGGAAAAGTGATATTAACACTTTCCAAGTGATTTTAATACTTTCCAAATATATCCAAATAGGTTGTACTTTCAGGCTTTAGCACAAATAGCTGTAGGAGACACTTCCTAGGACTCAGCCATCTGCTCCGTACTGCTGGTAGGAGGAAAAAAAATCCCCTAAAAAATAATTTACTTGCATAGTGGAAAATGTGTATATATGTGTCTAGCTTGATTTTATAAGGAACAAAATAAACTAAAAAATTCATGATTTTCTAATTATGTGTTACCCAGGTAGCTTACTGTGTTTCCTACTTATTTCTGTGATTGTGTCTTACAAAATTTTTTCAACTATTGAGATGGTATAAAGGCTTTGAGAGAAAGTATAATTTACATATGAACTTTTTATGTATACAGAGAGATCAGACTAGGTAAAGTTAGATCAGAAAATCAATGAAATTCATGTTTAAACTGTGTTTTATTTATGCCAATCCATCCCTTATTCCTTCAAACAATTAAAAACTAGTTCTAAAGTGAAATTATAGCTTATAACATGCTCATGACTGAAGATAGAATGTAAATATGAAATCTCTTAGATTTCACACTGACTCAGAGTAACACTAGCTGCTGCAGTAAACGCCAAGATTTTGGTGGCTTAACTGAGAAATTAATTCCTTGCTCTATGTCCAGTCCCATGTGGGGGCTCCTGGTCTGTGGGTAGCATGTTTCCAAGAGGCGACTCAGAGGCCTTGGATAATTCATCTTGTGCCCATCCCACCCCCTCGAGTTTCAGAGTCCTCTCCTCCAAGCAGGCAGGCACAGGTCGCTTTGACTCACAAGTGGCATATGTCACTTCCACTCAGATTTCAATGCAATAAAAAATAGTCATAAGGTGCCATGGTGGGGGGGTGGGTGGGGGTGGAATGGGCAGGGTAGTGCTTGGCTAGCAGACTCTTCCCAGCAACACCACGGTACTATGGAAGGACAACCCCTGATTTCTGGTGCATAATTAACCATCTCTGTCACAGTAGCATTCCAATCCTGGTTCATAGAATCCTAATATTCTTTATATTCTTTCTTACTTTTTTGTTTTGAGACAGAGTCTTACTCTATCACCCTGGGTAGAGTACAGCAGCAGCATCGTAGCTCGCTGCAACTTCAAACTCCTAGGCTCGAGTGATCCTCCTGCCTCAGCCTCCCAAATGGCTAGGACTACAGGTATGCACCAACACACCTGGCTAACTTTTTCTATTTTTGGTAGAGACGGGGTCTCACTCTTGCTCAGGCTGGTCTCAAACAATCAATACCTGACCTCAAACAATCCTCCCGCCTTGGCTTCCCAGAGAGCTAGGATTACAGGCATGAGCCACCGTGCCTGGCCACTGACATTATTTCTTAACGTAAAATGATGTTATAGTGAATTTGGAGTAAGTTCTCATCTAACTTTACCACTTACTAGATGCATAGCATCTGGATTGCAGTTTTATCATTTGTAAAATATTAATTATTTTGAATATCAAGAAAGATAACTTTTGTGAAATTGCTTTGTAACCTATATATTTATTTCAGCATATTATGGGGGTATAGATTTTAAGGTTTCAATAAATGCCCTTTCCCCCCTCCCCCCACAAGTCTGAA